ATCTCGAAATATAAATGCTTACAATGGCTTCAATCAATGTCAGTAGTATATATCATCAATATATATATATATATATATATATATAAACAAAACAAACATTTTAATGATAGCGTCATGACTCTGTGACTTTGATAGAATTACAGATACTTCAAACTGCGGCAAATAGCTGATCAAATCATCAGAGACATTCTACCTCTGGGCACAGAAGTGGGGATTGTGGTGTTCAGCGGTTCCGCCAGAATCTGGGCCAACATGAGTTTCATCACATCATCTGCAGACAGACAGATGCTTGCCCAGGGTCTGCCGGACAAAGAAGACTATGGTGGTGGTACAGCTATAGGGTTAGGTCTTCTAAAAGCCATCGAGGTACAGATGTATTTGCTTTGTCATAAACAAAAAAACTGGCTGTGTGCTCACAGCCCAAGTAGACGGATTTATTGGAGTATAAGAAAACTGATAGACAAACTTTATGGATGAACAACTTCTTTATTCAGGTGATGCGACGTTTCGATAGAAATTCTTGCATCGTTGTCAATATCGGGGAATCTGTCGAATCCGGACTCTTTATAAACCGGTTTTCTCAGTGATCCGGACTACTCTCTGAGTCCCGGCAAAGTTGTTCTTAATTTATCATTAAAGCTTGCTTTATGACTAAAATAACAGCCCCGGTAATCAACTTGCTATGAGAACAATGCTTTGTAAACTGGACGTAGCTGACTGAAATAACGGTCCGTTGAATAAACATCACTGTTACTTATGTTCTCAATGGTTTATAAACACACATTATTTAATGGGTTTAAGTTCTATAAATGACAGATCACGTGCTTGCTACTGAGTATAAATAAAATCAAAACAAAAAAGAACTATCCAAGTTGTTGGTTGTCCTTAACAAAGGGAGGTAACTCATCAAGGCAGTGTCTACGCTAATGGACAAAAGTTGACTAATCCGGACTGCTTTATAATCTGGAAAAGTGAGTCGGTCCCAGGCCAGTCCGTAATAGACAGACTCCACTGTATATAACACTGTTTTCTATCTGCTTGACAACGATACAAGAATCTGTATCAAAACGTCGTATCAACTGAATAAAGAGGTTGTCCATCAATAAAATTTGACTCTCCATGTATGCCACTCAAAAAAGTGTAAGAAACATATATAACTAGATGGACATCTTAATTCACTAACCCGTGAAGATCCGGGGTAGAATAGGTCTTCAGCAACCCATGTGCTTGCCACAAAAGGCGACTATGCTTCTCGTAAGAGGCGACTAACGGGATCGGGTGGTCAGTTTCCCTGACTTGGTTGACAACATGTTATCGGTTCCCAATTGCGCAGATCGATGCTCATGCTGTTGATCACTGGATTGTCTGGTCCAGACTCGATTATTTACAGACCGCCGCCATATAGTTTGGATATTGTTGAGTGCGGCGTAAAACTAAACTCACTCACTCACTCTTAATTCACTATCGTGTTTCTTTCAAAGATCAAAGGTAGTAAGCTGATCTTTTTCAAAACTGTAGTGTCTGTGACAAGAGCGTATCTAAAGTTCGCCTGATGTCAGCCTTTATCATAACATCAGTATGGTAAAAACATGGGATCTTCTGACAAGTAAAAGTATACAAGCTTTCGTTTATTTTGCATAAACGCAAAAAAATGTCTCTGTGAAACCCTGCTCAAAGCTGTATTTGTCAAATATCCAGAGTCACTGACCTTTGTTTCTAAAGCTGTACATATTTACTTTTGAGTTGCATAAAAGAATGTAAAAAAAATGTTTTTTAAAGAGTATCACTCTCAATCTCTAACGGGTTCTTAAATGGATTTTTTTTAAAAATGTGATGTCTACGAAGGGTGCCTGAAAATTATACTTTAATACCGATTGTATGTTGCTTTGTTTTTTGTAGTTTCATTATGTACTCTCCCAAAAATGAAACGCATATAGGAATTTCAACTGTATTTTAATGTTTACTTTGAAACATCTTATAGGCTTTATGAGTCAATGAAATATAGCGAAATTGCACATTAGGAATACAGACTTATCCATCTTTGGCACCAACTCGATGGAAGTCAGTTAGAGTGTCACATGGAGACGTGTGGTGGCGCTGAAGTCAATACCTCGTGTGACCACCGTTGGCGTCCAGTACTTTACGGCAGCGCCTCGACATCGAACGAATAAATCTCAGAATCTCGTGTTGCCCAATCGCAGCCACTCTGCCTGTAGTGCCTGTGCGAGTTGCTGAAGTGTCAGGGGCTGAGGGTTACGTCGGTGCGCCCGTCTGTCCAGGGCATCCCACAGATATTCGATCAGGTTTAAGTCCGGTGATCTTGAGGGCCAGGGGAGCACATTGATGGTGTGGTTCTGGAGGAAGTCTCTAGTGGGACGTGCTGTGTGGGGCCTGGCATTGTCCTGTTGAAACAACTCCCTCATGCGATCAATGATTGGAAGGAGGTGTGGGCGTAGGAATTCGTCACAGTACCGTTGAGCTGTCAGGTTGCCCTGGATCATCACCAAATCACTTTTCCTACTTTTCCTACGGCTCCCCACATCATAACACTGCCCTGACCGAATCTGTCCACCTGAGGAACGCAAGCGTCGGCGAAACGTTCACGTCGACGTCTGTACACCCGCATTCTTCCATCGCGTCGTTCCAATAGAAATCGTGATTCATCACTGAACCAGATTCTTCGCCAATTCGGTAGGTTCCAGGCTTGAACGTTAGTGCACCATTGAACTCGATGTCGACGATGTTGTTGTCGAAGCACAGGGCCAAAATAAGGTCTTCTGGCACGTAAACAAGCCTCTCTCAACCTGTTCCTGACGGTCTGTGCAGAAAGTCTCCTCAATCCGGGTATTTGTCGAGCGTACTGGTCACCGTAGCTGTTCGATGACGCAGGTGATGTACCCGGATGTAGCGATCCTGCGCCGCAGTGGTCACTCGAGGGGGCCACTACGAGGGACATCTGCTTCCGCATTCTGCCGGCGATATCTCTCCCAGAGCCGTGAAATGGTGCTTTGGTGAACATTCATGCGTCGGGCAACTGCACGTTGAGACTGGCCAACTTCAAGCAAACCAATATGACGGTTGGCTTCACTTAGACGTGGCATTTTGCGTTCGTCAACAATATTCCAAATACAGTGAATAATCGACAGACAGCAATCAACCTTTTATACCCATCATTGAGACTATCTGATCCCCAACTTTCACGTGCATTTCATGTGAATTGTGTATTCTGTGACACTACACGCCGAAATTGAAAATCATGCTGTTAAATACGGGTTTTTTACGGATGGTGCCTTTTGTTGTGATGTTTCAAAACATAAACACCATAGGACTTATAAACAGAGCAAAACCTTTTGTAAAATGAATCACGTTTTAATTCATTGCTACAAGAAACTGCTATTTTCATGATGCGTTTCCTTTTTTGGAGAGTATATTACGATCAGCGATTACAAAATATACGTTCAGATAGTATGTGTATGAGTAGATAACATGGATCGAGAGGACATGTTCGCTGACTTCATCACACTCCAAGTGTCTAGATCCAGACACTTCCAGTAACAGAAGGTCGTGGCATAGCTTGAATGTTTCAGAATACGGCGTCAACTTGAGACAAACAGTGATGATATGTTTTATGTATCTAGATGCTAAACGGCCGGGGGAAATCGGCGGAGAATGGACGAATATTCCTCGTCACTGACGGAGAACAAAACGTTAAGCCGAATGTGAGCCTGATCTTTTCCGATATTTTGAGCTCCAAGGTTGTTGTTCACTGAATGGCCTATAGTGATTCTGTGTCGTGAGATAAAGTCCTACAACCAGGATGTAATCGGTAATAGCAGGTAATTCCAGAGATAAATTTAAGCTTTAGACTCACTAAAGCAATATGATGCTTTGCAGTCGACATTCTACACTTTGTGTCTTATGAGATAACTGCACAAGAATTATGCTCCATGTTGAAAAGTACGTGCAAATATCAGACAACCGCGGATGTAAGTTGTTTTCCAATTTTCACCGAGGACATTGTTGTATTTCAACGTTACGAAGAATACATATTCCCTTAAAAACAGTATTATTAGATTCCAGACAGTTGCTGGCTACATTTACTAGTAGTAAACCTTGATGGGTAGTATACATCGTTACAGTGACATTGTTGTATGTGTCAGAGCGTAAATGCACCTTTTTATTAGGACCCCAGATAACCTGGATGGGATAGGTACATTGACCTTGTTGTGTATGACAGGTGGCCAGTATTCGTTCTTTGGAGAGACCACCGGTTTGACAGCCTTTAAGGCAGCAGCTGACCGACTACTGATGGACCTCAGCCTCTGCGACGAATACGATAATACTATTGAGGTAATTGAATCCATAACTTGATGAGAACAATTCCTTTTCGTAAAAATTCTGCATGTGATCGGTTTAGCTTGTATTCTTAAAGACGGTGTTAATTCCACAGCAGAAAGCGTTCCCGATCTCTGATGTGTGTCATAAGAGCCGGTTGATTAGATTGAACTCATTGCAGTTTGTGACCTAGTTGAGATGTGTCCACTGGCTTCGATTGTTGTTCATGCTGCCAGTCACTGCTTTGGGTGCTAATGGAAAATTCAGTTATATTCTAGAATTTCCTGATTCCTCGAATTCTGTTCCAGATTGATCGTCGCGCATTTGTTCTAACGTCAAAACAGAATAATTTCACCAGAATACTTAACATGGACCCCACCGTCGGCAACAACACACATTTCGTCTTTACTTTGTCACAGGGTGCCGAAACAAAGGTGAATTGAAGAGATATTTGTGAAACATAACCGCATAGAAGGATAGGAGAAGCGTTATTTAAATCACCCCATTCTATATGCTAAATGGCGACTTACACATTGTACATTGTCCTTGCGTTTGTGTTGACCAGTCTAAACAAAATGCTTCATTTTCTCATAGATCAGAATTGAAGATCCTTCTGGGGCTGTTTATGATTCCAGTTCATCTGAATACGGCAAAGATGAACTCTGAACATAATAAGATTCCTTTTCCCATTGACCAAGGTAAGATAAAGTAAAGATAAAAGTACAACTGTCTTAACATTTACGATGTATATTATCATTGTTACATGTAATATATAACTACATACATGTTGAAGGAAGAAATTGTAATACATATTTCATAATTATATGAACGACTAGTGGAAGAAAACATGTATCTAATCTGATCTAATGTCACATATTGCAACGGCAGATTGCCTCACAGATTACAACAGTTTCAACCCCATCAAAGGCATCCCGGTAACGCATATATTCAATGATGCAAGATTGGAAAATGAATTTCCCCACTGAGCTTTGATTAAAGGGGATCTGATAAATGAATGTACAACTCTAGTGTACTGTTTGTGTTCTATTTAGTTCTGAAATAAGTATCCCAAATTCACAATAATAATTTTACAATAATTCAAGCGATTAGATCATGACCTTTTTAATGAAGAATCGCCCCACTCTTTCGCCTCTAAACATACCTCTGTGCCAAAAATTCAAAATTGCCTCTGAGGGGATACTGTGAGGTTTACACTGGCTGCACTTATATTTCAATAAGATTACACCACGTTATGTTTTAACATTTACTCCTAGACGGGGACATGGAAGTATATGTTAAAACGCGACTCTAACGCGAACGAGGGCATAACGGCTGTGGTAACGTCACGCCCAAGGGTTGGCACCCTGCCCTTGAAGGTGGATACCTGGATCAGCTCTAAGACCTATGACTACTCAGGAGGTCGTAGTGGAGTCGTCGCTTACGCCTACGTTCACCAGGGATACGCTCCAGTCATCAGGGCTTTTGTGGATGTGGAGGTGTCCAGACCAGGAGACATATTTAACATAACTCTCTATGATGATGGCAAACGTGAGTATTATGTGATTTAGAACCATTACCTTAATTAATATCTTCTTGTGCAGTGTGGCCAAGAGGCAAGTGTCAATTGTAAGTCGCCCGATGAATAAAAGGAGATAAAGGTGATACCGATACATGAAAAATCAATATTTTTTAAAAGTAGTGTTGTTGCGCCTACGAACAACACCGATCACTCGAACAACATGTGGTATATTCGGCAACCATGATGTAAACCAGTACAAAACAGGGAATGATGAACTATAACATTCCGTACAAACAGAAAGAAACAAACGCGGATTGAACGTGATGGCGTAACCACCCTTCCTCCTGTCTTCCAGAGAAAACAAATCATATTTGGTCATTAGGAGTGGCTCTGAGGAGAGTCGGCATTACTCGGTTACAGTCTGTCATATACTCTTTGAGCGAAACTGAGATTGGGTAAACTTACGTATTTGAAGACACGTGTTTGTCAAAGATGAGCTGGCCATAACGTTTCATTACGTCTGCGGCATACCATGTCCGGTACGGTTTTTCTTGACTGAGGGTATAGTTGTGAAGGGATACGCTTCAAAGACATGCAGTGATGGCAAGCTTCTGTTGCCAGGGATGTAGCTGTATCAATATCCAATAGCCTATCGACCAATGTATCGTATTCAGCGTAGTTTAAGCTACGTACGAGCATCGTGTTTGTATTTTATTTAGACCTTTATTCGAGGTGAAAATCCCCCCAACGTTTTCGAAGCGAGCGACCACATAAAACTGGTTTCCGATAGGTATATAGCTCATACGACCGATTCTAAAATAATGGATTGTGGCTTCTAAAATTGCTTTCAGCGTCCATCGTTGCATCTGTCGTGATCAGCGTTGTTCAGACTACCTACAAGCATCGTGTTTGTATTTTATTAGACTTTATTCGAGGTGAAAATACACCCAAACGTTTTCGAAGCGAGCGATCTCGTGTTAAGACTTTTGAAGCGGAAGTGGGATTTGTTGTAAGACTGGATCCAGACATCCTCTGCGCTAGACATCCTTTGCACTACTATAGACAGAGCCCGGTTTAAGAGGATGATGCAATTCTATGGATAGACCCGTTTAATTTGCATTGTGTCTGTCAGCCGTCCCGCCAGTGGGGTGGTAGAGAGCTGGACTGGAAATACAGCATTTGGAGTTTGAGACAGGGTAGCAGCCGAGACTTTTGCAAGTGAGTGGAGGTATATAGGTCACGCCAGCATTCCTCCATGAGCGCTGGACTGGTCTAGATAGTGAGATGTGTTATGCTGGCGTTCCTACATGAGCGCTGGGCTGGCCTAGATTGCTCACTCAGGCTACGAACGAGAACGTTCTAACACATAATAAGCCTGCATGGGAGCTTGTATGTCAACAACAGGCAGTGAGCAAAAACCAGCTACCGGGGACCTGATAACCAAGTTTTTTGCTCGAAAATTATTAATCTTTTGATTTCTAGAGGAATTTTGGCTGCCGGGGACGTTTTGCTACTTTTTTTAACCTTTCTATCTTTCTATGTTAATATCTACAAATTAGTTTAACGTTAATCTTTTATGAAATCTTTGTTCTTGGTAAGGAAGGTTTTAATTATCTGTTGTCAGCCCTGTTTTAAGAACTTCTTTTTCTCGACTTCGCTGATGTCAGCGTTTTTTCTAGACTTGGTTCGAATCTCCTGTTTCATTCGGTGATATTTAGTGATTTCAGACATCACTAAACGAAACTCTTCCTCTGAGATTTGCTATCAGAGATTGCTGTCGAGATATGATAATCGATCGTGTTTAGCTTCGCTTCGGCTAGAATTCTGATTTCATCGTGTTTCAGCGCTTTACCTTGAAGCCGACTTGAAATGAATTTAAGGGTTACTCCTACCAGTTCCGATACCCCGGCTGCTATTTCTAACTCGAGGACAAAGGGGGCGGCTATAATGGTTGATAATAAGCTGACGTCAGCCGTGCCGTGTCCCATGCTGGTCACCATTAAGGTAGTGTCTACACCGTCCAGAGCATTTGTTGCCCTATGGTATTTTTTTGGTAATCCAATGCCCACGTCACGTTCTTGTTCCAGTTGAGGTCTGATCTCACTGATTTGTCGTAAACGAAAACCATCCACGGTTTCGAGCGTTTGAGCCACTTCGTCCATGGCTGGATACATCCCAACTCGTGTATAATATATGTTAGGAAATAAGCTTTAATTGTTCCCCCCGTCAATCATTGATGAATATACTTTAAGCTGATGAAGTATATATGCTCGGATAAATTAATTGCATGGAATATTATGCGTTTAGACAGAATAACCTTGATTCCCTCGATCCTCGATCCTTGTTATGGGAGCTGTTCCTGGTTGTATATAAATAGGACAACGTTGATGTTGATGGCGATCATACCAGCGTATGCTTAACCCAACCAGAATTGTCGAATCTTTTGTGGGGGCATCTCCAAGAAAAACTTCAATAATAAGGGTAGAACCTTGTATCACAGTGACCGACGACTGTGGGCCTTCATTATATTTTTTTTTAAATACATCCATTTATCTTCGGTTTCCGGACAGGTGACTGTCATATTACCCGTTTGATTTGGTAATGTTGATACGTACATTCCCTTTTCTTCAACCGGAATAAAACTATCCAGTAGAACCCCCTTGTTTTCTAGTTTGATGACATTACGATCATCATCCATGACTAGATAGGGGTAGATAAGGACAAGATTGATGATCCAGTGCAATTGAGATTCGATGATCACTTCTTGTCATTGGTACACATTGTTTTGTAAGTGCAATACGCATATGGCACTTTCCGTACCGGTGTAACAGGCCAGAGTATACCCCTGTCCCAGACTATACCCGGGGTTAAACTGGGCTAGGGCTGACCGAATCCTCACATGTCCCCAAGATCGGATAACGCATGCAATGGAGGCCTGTGAACACAGGTTGGAAACGTCACCCATGGTTATACTCGATTATGGAAGAGCCTTAAATTGGTTTTCCGACAATTTCTCATGCGTAAACTTTAAGCTGATGAGATGGATATTTGGAGGTAAATTTTTTTTTGTGAGCGCGATTTTTTTCTCCAAATTAATCGTCACCCGTCAAGACTAGCATAAGCATTGACATCATTCTGTATATAAATCGTGCAAACATGATTTTGATGTTTTTAGGCCAACAGAGTTTGAGTTTGACTCCAGGTAATGTTGATCGGGGGAGGCCTCCCCGAGAAAGGCTTTGATATAAAGCATCGAATTGGATGGAATCCCTTGTAAGACATGTGACGCATCTTTGAATTCAAGCACCAACGTTACTGTAAACTCGGATATTTTGGCTATCCGGCCGTCTCGCTAGCAAATGACCAGCTTTTCTAGAGATGAGGTTGACGAGCACACTTCTTCTTTGCGAGGGGACATAAGCCACGATGAGAATCCCCTTATTAATGGCTTTCATTAAATGACGATCCTTCGCCTCCGCAAACACGTAAGGTGACACGAGGGCGATTTGGATATCTTCAAAACAAGTATTAATTCAAAGTCAAGTGCTATTCCTAGGAAAATCTCCGGGCAGAGGGACGATATTGGGGTAATGCCCCTAATCGACGGGGCATCGGGATATGACAAGAAATACTGCCTCGCTAGAACAATAGAGTGACGTCACTGGAGGTTTATAAGGCAAGGCATACGCTTTAAAATTAAGAAATAACATTTACAGGCGAACAGATGTGAGCGGTGGTGGTAACCTAAGAGATTTAGACGATGTAATAACCAGAGGTCTCTTAAAGAAAGACGCAGTACAATCTCGTCCTCAATGACAATAACAAATGGGTGATGGTACCAGCATTCGATGGCAATCTAGGCAATTTAGACAGTGTCGAGACCTGAGGTCTCTTAAAAAACATGTTGTACCAGTTCGCCCTAACCGATGATAAGCAATGGACGTTAATCTCCTCCCAAATCGACTGGCTACTTAATACCACCCTCGTTTCCCGAATAAAGCTGGTCATTTGCTAGCGAGTAGACCGAATAGTCAAAATACGAGTTTACTGTTGGTGCTTGAATATCGAAGACATGACTGATTTCACACAAGGGATTCCAAACCATTCTACGCTTTATATCGAAGTCTTTTTCCCGGAGGCATCAGCCGACCGAGATGTTAAAATTATACTGGGAGTAAACCTCTGTTGACCTCGAAAACATCAAAATCATGTTTGCTCGATTTATATATAGAAAAACGTCTAGCTTACATGAGTCTCAAAGGAGTCATGATTAACTTGGAGAATAAAATCACGCTCACGAAGATTTTTCTACATCCAAAAATCCATCTCATCAGCTTAAAGTTTGCCCACGGGAAGTTGTCGGAGAATCAATTGAAGAATCTTCCATAATACGAGTATAACCATGGGCAACGTGGTCACCCCGAATCAAGTACGTTATCCACCATCGCGTTCTCCGATCTCCGGGACATGCTAGATTTGACCAACCGGACTGAAGACACCTTGTATGTCCTGCACTTACAAAACAACCGTGTACCAACGTCGAGAAGTGATCTTCGAATTGAACTGGATCATCGATATTGTCCTGACCTACCCCTATCTTGTCATGGATGAGGATGGTTATGTCATCGAACTGAAAAATAATGGGGCTCTACTGGATGTTTTTTCCGTTCAACGAAAACAACGTTACCAGATCAAACGGGTAATATGTAAGTCACCCGTCCGGAACCCGAATATAAACTGATGCGATTGAAGCAAATTATAATTATGAAATCCCAGAAACGTGGATTAAAGTGATACAAGATTCTACACTCATTATTGAAGTTTTCTTATAGATGACCCGCAAAGATGTACCAATTTAAATTGGTTAAAAACTGACGCTTGGTATGATCGCCATCATTATAAACGTTGTCGTATTTATTCACAACCAGGAAGAGCCCCCACCGCAAGCCTCAAAGGGGTCATTGTTTTCCTAGAGCCTCTCATTTCACTCGACTACATTCATTTATCCGAGCATATGCACCTTGTCAGC